CTCTCTCTCTCTCCCCCCTCCCTCCCTCCCTTTCTCCCTCAACTCTCTCTCACATTCAAATTTCAAATCGTCAATTAATCACTAACGTAATATATTTACAGGCGTTTATTTATGTGTCGACAGTCTACGCCAATTGTCATGCACGACATAACGACGAGCGTTTCTACACATATCCTATCGATCACAAAATATTTCTTTCACTAACGGACAATTTATCCGAAGAAGTAGCCAGCAAAACAATCTCCAGGTGAGTTTGTAATCATGTTCTTTGCTCCATTCTTTTTTTTGTACCAGTGAATAAAAAAACACACATCTGTTAGTCCCCGTGTGAAGGGAAATTAAAAGTAGAGATGTGCGAACTATTCGAATTCGAATCGAATCTAATAATTAAAGTTAATTCAATCTCAATATAATAATTAAAGTTGTAATAATTATTAATTATAATAATCTCAAAGTTATAATTGAATGCGTATAACTTAAATTTTTTCGAGAAAAATTTCACTTAGAAAATAAATCGACTTTTTACTCATATAGAATCGAATCAAATGAAATTCGATTCGATTCGAATTCGAATCCCTATGATTCGAATCTGAATAATTTCCTTTTAATTTGAAAATTTCGAACGAAAAGATTCTAATACGAATCGCGCACATTAGCATTAACGAAGAACTATTAAAGGCATCCAGCCTTACAGGAATTAGCATGACTTGAACAGTTTGCTATACATTAAGATTTTCTTCAAAAATATTAAAAGAAGATAATGGCTTCTAGATACTGGAACTCTTACAGACAACTGTCGGATCGATATGTGTCGTTGCGCAGCTTTCAAGGCTGGAACTGTATTCCATATACATTTACCAACTATATATTATATCTCTTACCTTAAAATGAATTGATATCACATGATTAATGTTATCTTACTCATACTGAAGTCACTATTTTCATATTGAATTCAATGATTATGTTAATTAAAAATTCTTTTAACGATTCGATTCGATTCGGGTGAAATTTGATCGATTCGATTCGATTCGAATTCGAAATTAAACCTCAGATTCGATTCGATTCGGCATTAAAAATCTTTGATTCGTACATTTCTAATTAAGAGAAAGCAACTACAATAAGCTGTAAAAAAATCACGAAAAAATCATGATAGGGAAAAGTCCGTTCAGATATAGGCGTTGCTTCACAGTGTCTTCTCCCAATGGCCGAATGTCTACACGTACACCAAAGCCATCGCGGAATCGCTGCTGAAAGAGGCGAGCGAAGACATTCCGATTGGAATATATAGGCCTGCCTCAAGTGAGAAAAATGCACTATCGCAATTGCACTTCACAAATTTACTTTAATTAGATTAAGTAACAGATAGGGAACGATAACAAAGTATTTTCGGTTCATTTAAGAATAACCCTAATAATTTAGCGATATTGAACATCTCACTTTCTCTCTCAGTATATGAACATATACACAAAAAAAATATTGTAACTGAATTGATCAACAGCATCATAACTGGAGTAAATTTTCTTGATTCCAGAAAAGCATTTATTAAAATTATTAAAAAGCAGTTATTAAAACAATATGTGTGTGTTGATGTATTAGTTTTAATATTATTATATATTGGAAAAGATTTACTCCAATTATAAACTAAGTTTCCTCCAATCAGACTAGTTCTATTAATATTAATACAACAGTATTTATTGTGTATGTAAGTATCGATCCTAAATCGTTCGTTAATTTTTCAATCTAGTCGTTTCTACTGCCCGCGACCCGATCGCGGGATGGGTAGACAACTACTATGGGCCAAACGGAGTATCGGCGTTCTATTACAAGGGTCTAATGCGATTTATGATTGGTGATCCCAACTGTACGGCGAACATCGTACCCGCCGACATTACCGTGAACGCTCTAATCGCCACTGCTTGGGATGTTTTCACTCAGTCGCACAGGTATGATCCGAAAAGATGGAGACTCGCGGAAACCCGCGTGGTCTGAAAAGAGATTCGAAGAATTTCAAGTCTCTGTAGACACAGATAGTTGAGAAGTTAACCAGGCCGCACAAATTTCTAAAGACGTCATATTTTCTTTTTTAACACATCCTTTAAACATTTTCTAGACATCTTTTAAAAGTCTGCGCAGTCTGAGTAAACAGATTCGACGATGAAATGAAGACGGATATTTGTTTCAAGCTTCGGATCTTTCATTTTGTTCTCGAGAAATGAGAAAATCCGTTCTTATATGTGCATTTTTCGTTTCAATGAACATTTCAGATCCTTGCGGCGAGGAATCACTCTCTCATTAAGATCTGACTTCAAACAAACGATCGCATTTATTCCGTCTTGTCAACGTTGGGATAAATATATAATTCTTTCGTTTCATCCGAACTGTTGCAGACGAGGCGATAAAACGTTGATTTACAATCATGTGGCGACAAACGACGCCCGTTTGACTTGGGGCGAATATATGGACTATGGACAACAAAGCATGCAGAAATACCCGCTGAAGAACTGTTACTGGATGCCAACCATCACATTAATTAGAGAAAAATTAATATACAAAATATGCATTTGGTTAACTCACTTGTTGCCTGCTTTATTGATGGACGCTGTCCAAACGTGCAGAGGTGTTCGAGAAAGGTATCTCAAGGACTCTGTCGTGTCCCAAAATTCAAATCATATTCATTCTTCGCTTCTTTACAGCATATGGACGTTCTACAAGAAGATCCACAATTTTTCCAATGTCATTCACTACTTTACGACCAGGGAATGGACTTACACGAACGACAACATTCATGCGATGTGGCATCGTTTAAGCAAGGAGGATCAGCGTTTGCTGAACTTCAACATGAAGGGTTTCGACTGGCCGAAATACTTGGACAATCATATTAAAGGTCTACGCATTTATTTGCTCAAAGACGACATCAGCTCTTTGGAAGCCAGTCGCATCCGATGGAAAAGGTGATGATGTCAATCCGATAAAATATGATAATTATGAATTTGTATATATCACACACGCGCGCGGCATATATAGCATATTAATCTTTAGCATATCAATCATGGAGCAAAAAATTATATAAGTATGAATATTTAAAGCAGTGCGAAGTTAGTTGACAGTTAATGAAACAAACAAATTGCAGACTTTATTGGATACATCAAGCGGTGAGAATGATATTCACATTCGCCGTTCTTTGGTTCATCTGGAGGCTGGTCACGAAAATACTCGCATGAACGTCGCATTTAATGTTACGTATAGACATAATATTAACTCATGTATTATATACAAGCACCACGATACAGAGCTACATGATATAGAAATATATTGTGGAAAAGATCAAATGTGAATATATGTGTAATATTTCAGTTTAAAATAAATGTATGTGTGCTATCGCGAGAGAGATAAGATAATTGTAAAAAAATAAATGTATTCATGACATGTACATAATGACATATACACGTGATCTAAATTCATCAAAAAATTATTCAGTGCGATATAAGTGCAATACAGTGCAATACAGTACATATAAATATTCTATTTAATGGCCATCCAGAGCCATTGCACACAAAATGCATATACAAAACATAACAAAGCACAAATGTATGCACATAATTTCTTAGCTAAAATTTAATGAATGTACCTAAACAATAGTTCAATTTCCAATGTGAAAAAATAATCTTAGAAAAGTTTTTGACTCTTTGCGGCTCAAAAGACTCCAATGGCCTTTGACGTTGCTTTCTTTCCATCACTTCCAGCCCTTCTTATAGAATCCTAAACTTTTGCTACTCTGGTCAGTTTACCAAAGTAAGAAAAGTCAAGAAATTACTCCCACAAACAATTACAGCTCCCAAAAAGTAACGTAAAAAAAGTTGGTCGGACTTTAAACATGGTTTTGAATTCCATTTGATCTCGCTGATCATTTTAGGATTAATTCAAATTGAAATGTATGGAATCATTGACGATTGTTATGAAATACAAGTGTGCAATATAAAAAGCATTCTAATTGTGAAATCTTACTTTTGCACTTAAAATAATATTATGAATTTCAGATTATTCTGGATACATCAAGTGACAAAGATCGTGTTTATATCCATTATCTTTATGTTTGTCTGGAAGCTGTTTGCAAACATATTCTTTTAATCTATACTGGCTTATTCCACGCGCAATTATAATATCAATAAAGGAACTAAAACGATCACGATATAATTTCTGTGAAATGATAAACTAATATTTGTACAGAATTAATAATATGAATACTAATAATAATGCACTGATCTTGTACGTTTATCCATCTTTCTCCTTTATTTGTTCGTACTTGTTTTGTTGATTTTTTTGAACTGACTGAAATACCAGGAGCTTATAATCAACCAAGTTCTGCTGGTACTTAAAATCTGAAACAAAAAGGTATAATTTTGTTAATTAGATATCTAGGTTAAGATTTTATTTAAGAAATACATATATAAATCGTGTGAACTCTTCACGTTCGTTGCAAACTCAGAGATTTTTATGCCGACAACAATATATTAATTTTCGATCACAATGTTAAACGCAAATGTATGAAACATTTGTGAACTTACCTTCGATTCTTCTCGACCCGAACTAAATCTTCCGGTATGTACGTCACATCACACACTTCCGGTGTCCATCGAAATTGTATCCTCCGGGAACCGCGTCCAGCAAATGGCTATAAACTCTGGCAGATCTGAAACAAAAAGCAAGACTCTAGTTAGTTACATAAAGAGATGCAAACATATCAAGAATATATACAAGAGCTGTACATTTCTATTTTGTGAACTAGTAAAAAGGAAACGTGATAGTCACCCTGCTTGAGGTCACGTTGCCGCTGCTCGAGACGATCCTCAGTACGATCATCGCGCGTGCAATACCACGTAACATATCCCTTGTATCATATCAATACTATACATTATTTTATAATAATTAACCCCAGCTTGATGTTCAATCTCGGCTCCACAATATCGTAAAAAGAATCGCAAATCACTAGGGAGACTCGGTGTCAAGATAGCACAGATAATTCTAAAAGAATTCAATCGTATGACACCAAATCTGAGTTTATTTTTAGATGCAAAAAGAATTCTTTTCACTGAATTGAACTCTGAAGAATTCTTTTTGCATCTGAAAATGAACTCAGAATTGGCGACATATAACTGAATTTTTTAAATTCTCTTTGAATTCTATGTGCTATCTGAGAACTTTCGTAGCGATTAGCCGGCGATAGAAAACAGGTTGCAAAACGAAAGTCGTGTATGAGTTCAACAGTGTATGATCATTCTACATTGCAGCATCTTGGTGTTGCTCGTATTAATTGAGGTGTCAACGAATGGCGATATTTCTCGCCACGTGGTCTTCGTCATGTGTTTGGCCATCGCTATGTATATCACCACCGGAGCCCTCAGCTTGATCCGACGACTCTTGTCGACGATCGGCATGTTACTGTTAACTGGTCTGGCTAGAGTAATCCTGCTGGTCGGTCACACAGTATCAAGAAGCACTTTCAGACACCGAGCTACCAACGAGAGTTCGGAATTGTACACGGACTCCGAGGAAGATCGTGGAATTATGAGTGAAACGTCTCTAGAGTCAAAGCATTTTCCTCAAAATCCATCGCCGTATGGACAGGTCACTCAGAGCCAGACAAATCCTTGTCTCAATTTGCCGTGCTCAAACGTTACTAACTGTGTCTCAACAAATAACTAGGAAGAAACGAAATGTTAGTTAAAGTTGGATTAATTTCTGCCGATATTTGCCAGTAGAAAAACCAAAATGTTCTGCAGAAGTTTCTATGAAATAAACAAAGTACTTTTATACGCTCATTTCGAAGAAGCACATGTATTTTCACTTAAAAATTATAATTCAAACGCTAATCGTATCATACATGAAAAAAATAATATCTATACAATTAGATAAAATATAATTATACGCTTATATGCCAGAGAAAAAGGTGAGTTAGTAGCTACTTTTCAAGTGGGAATTTATATATATACGCCTAGAGCAAAAAGTATGAAATATACATTTTCAAACTTATAAAATTGTGCACAGTAAAGGTCAAAGAATACCGTGAAGATATGTCTCACACATATTTATAATTTTTTGATATTTCAGATACTACTCATTTAAACAGTTACATAATCTTTGTATTTTTCGCATGTAAATATAATAAACTTTCATAATATACATTTCGATAATATAAATATCGTAAGCAGCCTTAACTATGGAGGGTACAATTGGACGGAATATGTTATGAATCGTAAAAAACACTTGCGATAAATAATATACTCACTATAAATCGAATAATTCGTCTTATATATGGACGAACCAACAGTTAACGTCGATTAATTTGTCCTTTGAAGATAACTTTAAAAAAGCTACAATGTCGATCAACCTGCTTCTTGCAAGATTTTAAAAATGGCAGTACAACTACATATATATATATATATATATATATATATATATATATATATATATATATATATATATATATATATATATATATATATATATATC